TAGAAACAGATGCAGTGAAATGCAAATAATAGCAAAAGAAACAATGCTTAGCATTTTGTGTGAAAAACGCAGAGCAAAATTCCCCTCAACAACACTTGGCTACTTCCTGCTGAGAATTTCCTGTCTTGATGATGCTTTCTTGGGAATTCTTGAACTGGAAGGACCCCCAGTAGAAGGCCAATAACTGCAGCAAAAAGATAAGAAAAGAAGAAAAAGGAAAGGGAAAAAATTAATAATAAAAAATAAAGACACCTAAAAGCCTGTAAAGAGTCTCTGTAGGTCAGTGTTTAGAACACCCTTGAACTGGTATCTGGGCTCAGGTCATGGGTTTGATTCCCGTCAGGGACTCAGATTTTTTCTTTGTCGCATGCTCTTGGCAACATTTCATTGTTATAACTTTAGATAGTTCTGTGTTAACCCATAGACACCTGGAGCTTTTAGTGAAAGTTCACACTTTTTTAGACATTTTGGACATTTCCAGTGTGGATATGAGCTAAATTAGCTCCAATCTTATTCTACTCAACAAGGCATTTGCAACATGAAAACATGCTTTTCTTTCCACTTTCATCTTTAGGCTTTTCAGTGTCTTTTCACCAGGCTACAAAATTAGTAGCTTTCATTTTTCTAAAGTTACATCTAAACTAATTTATATTTCAGTATCTTCCTATAATTTGTTAACTTTGTAAATAAGATAATTAAATGTAATTTGTCAAAATTAATGAGTGAAAATACTGCTTCTAGATTGGATTAAAAAAAGGTTTATTAATTTAAAAATGTTATGATAATTTGTCAACATTTTGGATTATATGGCCAAATTGTTAATTTTTTTCATAAATTTTCCCTTTTCAGAATAGCAACAATTTTAGTAAAGGCATTTTTGAGCTCAGGAAGTTTTGATGTGAAAGCTTTGAGAGCATTCAGAGTTCTCAGACCCTTGAGACTGGTGTCTGGTGTTCCAAGTAAGTGTTCATGAAATGTTGCTTATTGTAGACAGCTCGGGTTGACACCAAGGGCTGTGTTCATGATTGTCACAAAGTTTTGAGAGAGGTGGCCTTATCGCCGGAGCAGGCAGCTGATTGCTACCTGCAGAGCAGATGTGGGGAGATTGAGCAAGCAAGCGGGTAAATGAGTGAAATTGCCTGCTTGAGTGAGCTAAAAAATGGCAAGAAGTGGGGAGGAGGTGAGCAAAAAGAGGAGCAGAAGGGGAGGGAATTGCACTTGCTCACAATTTTGTTCCTTTCACTTGCTTTTGAAAATGAACGCATGCTATGCAGGCTAGCTGATTGTCATGTTTTGTGAAAGAATCAGTTAAGAGGTAGCTGACAAAGATTATGAAGTAGACTTATATCAATACACTGCTGAGATGTTGTCAGCCTCGGCAGTTTTGGCCGTGTACTGGAGTCAATTGGTACACTGCCAAAACTGTCAAGGCTGACAACAACTCATGCCCACTACATACCCAAAACAATAACATTCTTTTAAACAAACATTAATTTCAGCACTTTTAGCCATCTTCCAAACATCCTTTTTTAATTTATGCAAATTACATGTACAGTGTACTCTCTATATTCAAATCTTTAATGTTTCATTTTATCACGGTGTTTTCCGTTGAAGACAGTAGAGACTGGCTGTCAAAAGCTCTTCTTTTTAATAATTTTTACCACAGAATGCTTTATTCATTGTCATTTGATTTCTGTTGATTTGAGAGACATTATGGGATACTCAGGGGGCAAATTACAGTGTAGTACATATTTGCCCCCTAAGAGTCCCATGATAGCTATTTGAAACAATGGAATTCAAAATGGCTGCTGTATTGGTAAAAAGTTATATTGCAAGCATGCTATGCAGGGGAAGAGGGGACGTTTATACTGCAGGAATAATGCATTGGGAGACAAGACTATGTTTGGGGACAAGGGACTGTTTTTAGGGAGGGGCTCATGCTGGGTAGAGGGGACTTTGTTTTGGGGGCAGGGACCTGTGAAATGGAACAGGGGCCACAGGGATGACTGTTCTTTGCATGTGTTAAGGATCTTTGCATGGAGAAAGGGAGCTCAATTATTAATAATAATGGTAGGGCATAGGGGACTACGGACAGGGGAGAGTCTTATGTATCAGGTTTATTGCTATGTGCTCGGTGTATCGGGGAGGCGGGNGGGGGGAGTTGAAGAGCTATGTACAATACACATCGCAAGAAGACCACATACATGAATATTATGTTTAGGGGGAGGGAACTGTACATGGGAGATGAAACATTTCACAGGGCATTAGACCCTCCCTGGGGTTTTAATCATCTGTGACTGGAGTATCTAAGGGAGGAACCTTGAATAGGAAATTTCCTTTCTTGAGGTCAGCTGCAGTATCTCGTTACATTGTACAGTTCCAGAAAATAACCCTACTTCTCCCACAGAGGTATTGGAATTCTTAGAGGGGTGGGGAGGGATCTTTGAAAAAGTCCCTTCTGTGGGGGAGGTATGGATATTTTCTGGAACTTCACATTGTAACATGAGATCGCTCCCAAAAGTGTAGATTTAACATTGAGAATAATAAAGGATCAATTCATTGCTTGATCTGTTTTCATTTTCAGGTTTACAAGTTGTTTTAAATTCAATTATCAAGGCATTGATACCACTGTTCCATATAGCTTTGTTGGTGGTTTTCGTCGTTATAATTTATGCAATTATCGGGGTTGAGTTGTTCATGGGACGTCTTCACAAGACATGTTATGACAATGTAACAGGTAATTATTCGTGACTGTGCTCTGTTGGACTATATGTAATAGGTCTTATGCATGATTACACCACATGCTCAAAATTCATCACCAAGCCTTGTTTCCGTGAAATTGGAAATTTGAAAACTTGAACCTCTGGCACCTTTGTGCTGTTTTTACGAGGAGATTCTTTTCATCTGTGCTTTTTTGGAAATTTGTCCACAATAAAACTTGCAATTTGTATTTTAAAAGTGAGGCTTGGTGGTGAAATGTGCTTGTCTGATCAGATGGTATCATGCACAAATTTTTTTCAGTCAGGATTTTAATAAAAAGTGGCAGTTAGTAAAATTCACCATGTGAAGGTAGTAAAATTCACTAGGAAGAGTTTACCAACCATGTACTTGAAAATCAACTGAAAAATTTACCATTATTTGCTTGTTGGACTTGAATTTCTGGTTTTAGATTAGCTTAGGGAGGGCTATTTTGTAAACTACATGAGTCATCAGTAATCAATGTTACCCTCATAAAATAAAGTGTTACTAATATATTGAGAGAAAATGGGAGCAAATAATCCATTGTTTTCATAGTATAAATCTACTAGTCGTTCAAACCTATATCTAAATTCTCTCTCCGACACTAAGAAAACGCCAAGAAGCAGCCACCACTTTGTAAACAACCACTCACTGCTAGGCTACGCATTATGTACATGTACAAAAGAGTGGATAGTGAGTAGCGTAGCCCATAAGAGAATGGCATTCATGTTAGAATGCTGGTAGATTTATACTCAGATATTTTAATGTTTGTTTTAAAGGGACTTTGTTGAGGGTCTTTAACCTCACTCTAACTTTAGTGTCTGAATTTAGGTGCAGAAGCACTTGAAGAATCACCTCCTTGCAGCTCAGGCAGTTCTGGGTTTCACTGCGATGCCAGCCTGGGACAAGTGTGCGAGGGAGGCTGGAAAGGTCCTAATCATGGAATAACAAATTTTGATAATATCGGCTTGGCCTGCATGACTGTATTCCAGTGCATTACACTTGAAGGCTGGACAGATGTTTTATATATGGTGAGTCAAAAATAAATGAGTTAATATATGGTGAGTTAATGAATGAGTTAATAATGAGTGAGTTGATGTACATATAGTGGGTTATTGACTAAGCGTGAGGTCAAGATGGCTGGAGCAGTGGATGCAAATATTCTCTTTTGTATTTTTATTTTGATAGATAGGCTTTTATCTTGGTAAATAATTATAATGTTTAAAAATTTAATATGTACATAGTCCTGATGATTGTAATTCTTTTTAGGTGTCCCAATTAGCAGTAATGTAAATCTCATTGACATGTATATAAAGTTATTATTATTATATTGGCCAAGTTCTTTTTTTTTTGCATCACTGCTGGAAATAATTTTTCTTCTTTAACAGGACATGTGTCCTTTCAAATTTTCATTTTGGTTGGACATCTTATCAATTTGACCGGACACTAATTTGCATAACTGATTAGCATAATTAATTGGCAGAATAAAATTTTTTGGGATACTGTAAAGATTTCCAATAGAAATCATTCAAAACTGCATTTAAATTTGATTTATTTATCATTTATGATGATNATTTTATTTGGCAAGAACAGGAAAGATGAACACTTCTGCTTTATGATATGGCAGAAGCCTATAATGGGCTCCTGGCGCAATTTCGAGCCTTTTAACAATGTATCTAACCAAATTTTATGGATGGGCAATAACTTGGTGCTGGTAAAATGTTCGGACATCATGTCCGATCATAATGTTAAATTGACCGGACATATTCAAAATTTGGTCGGACAATGTCCGATGACCGACTGTTTTTTCCAGCCCTGTGCATGTTCGTGGATTAAGGCGGAGTCGAGGTCCATAAACATGCAAAAAAGAACAAGGCCAATATCCAGCCATCTTTACCTCACGCTTGGTCAATAAAGGATTTACTAGGTGGAAAAAGAACACTTTTCTGACGGGACACAGCGGGTAATCCCGAGCGGGCAAGATAGCGCCATCTTTCCCACTCAGGTAGCCAATCACGACGCAGGATTTGGTTCATCTTGTCCACTCACGGAGCTTGCTAATAATAAGGCGAAATAATCAATAATGCTCAAACCAGTGACATCGTTTGTTTTGGTTTTCTTTTCAGATCAATGATGCAGTTGGCAATTCCTGGCCGTGGTTATACTTTGTTACGCTCATTATCTGGGGGTCGTTCTTTGTTCTCAATCTAGTCCTTGGTGTTCTCAGTGGGTATGTGCCATTTGGTCTTGTTTGTTTTACTTTAGTCTTGGGTAAATTTTTGTTGTCGGGTGATTTCTTTCTGATGAAGTTGAATTTTCTCTTTCTACAGAGAATTTGCCAAAGAAAAGGCAAGGGCGCAAAAGAGCGGTGAATTTCAAAAGTTCCGAGAAAAGCAACAGGTTGAAGATGCTTACAATGGCTATCTTGATTGGATAACACAAGCTGGTATGTAAATATCAATTTAGCATATCCTACAGTTCGGATATTCGCAGTAGATCTTTGAAAACATTGAAAACGTAAGATATTACAAAATTGCAACGTAAGGCTGCTTCCCCGCTGATAGAGACCCTAAACTCTTACAACTTAACATTACTCTTTTTACGACAAAAAGACAGCCATGTGATCTGTGCAACTTTGCGGGAAAAATTTCTATAAGGCTGTTACACTTTGCAACTAGTTTAAAACGTTTTCAGTGTAGCATTGTCGCTATGGTGTAGCTGTGCTGGAAAAAAATATTTTGAGACATGCTGTGCAGTGTTGCCGAGTGCCATGCCTACTTTTACAGAGGAAACAGCAGTCACAGGTACACCTTTGTGAACCTATTTATTTTCTACTTACAGAGGACATTGAAGGTGATAGCGAGAGCGAGAGCGGAGATGGGTCAAAGAGTTCCAGAAAAACTTGTAAGTAAATTCAAATCTAGGGAATTCAGCATCAGGAATTCTTATCTCGTGGATACAGAAACGCCAGAAAGTGGGTCATCGTGAAAAAAGGGGTTAAAGGAGCGCAATTATGGTATATTGAGTTATTTTGGTCACGTACAGAACTACCTTTAAATTGAAGGAAACCTGAAAATATTAGTTTACTAAGATAGAAAAACACCAAAGAGATACTAATAAGCCATGTAGGAACAAGGATGGTTAAGGATGGAGAAGATTGACACGGATTACAAGTGACGAACTTGAAACTGAAATTTAGGCTAAACTTTTGGAAATGCGCAAACCGTGACGTAGCTCCTTTAAGGAAAACACGAAGGTTGTGACACCGAGAATGACACCAAAGAAAAGGTTTAATGAGCAGAAAGAAAATGGCGCACAAAGTCAATTTTAAATTTTGCAACATTTCCAAGGCAGTCTTTGTAAAAACGACAACGAGGCGTGGACAAATTGTGCTTTGAAATTGAGGCAAACTTGACTTGAATAGCGTATGTATTGGAAGAAGTGAACTGGCACATCAAATGATTTCCATCAGAATTGATGCCTGAAACATTGAAATCTTGGTTTGTAAGTTCATGGTATTCTTCAAAAGTATTCAGTAATCAAATAAATCTGAAGATTTTAGTTTGGTGGCAAAGTAACGAACGCTTTCAACGGCTAGACACAATAAAAACGCCTTCCAAGCCTCGTGCCGGTCATCTCTAACTCTAATACTTACGTTGTTTTGCAATAGTGCGGTTCTCACATGAGTGTCGAAAGTAATTCGTATTTGCCTTGGTTTTACGTTGCTGCACTGAGAAACTCGCGCCGCTTTGTCAATCAGAAGTAAAACCAAAGCCAGTCGTGACTTGCTCGTACACGTTTTCCCGCGCTTTACGCGAACTGCAAGTATTTGCTTCCAGTTTTGATTGGTTAACTGAATTTTGTGTCCTTTGTGACTGGCCAGAAAAATTGCTCGGTTTAGCGCTGTCATGTAACGACGCTCACGCAATGAACTTGGGAATTATTTTCCAAAAAAATAATTGGAGACGAATGTCCGCTTTTACTGCTGTTTAAGTGATTTCTTCGTGAAATAACTCACGGTTACAATGTTCATGTTACATGCACAGCGAAGCACTCAAGAGCTGAAGACATTGAAATGATCGACAGAAATGAGAGACCAGACAATGCCACTCAAGATGTTCATCATGGATGGTGTCATAACGAAAAGTAAGACGAATGTTCCGTGGGTTTTCNACTGCTAGGATCAACGCTATCGAATTCATCGTGAGTAGTGATAAGTTAATAAAGATGGTGAATTTTAAGCTCGGTAATGAAATGTGAAGGTGAATTAAGGTGTACCGTCAAGATGGCTGGATATTGGCCTCGTTCGTTCTTTTGTTGCGTGATTAAGGACATCAGTTGCGTCTCGGTTCATAAACACGCAAACAGGGAACCGCGCAATAAGCCAATAATCCCGGTCATATAAGATCAGTTGGCTGCTTACAAAGGGTTACTCGAGGGGTTGAATTCAGGTTAGAGGTGTTGAACAAGGGACCTCTGATTACAAGACCAACACCCTTAACTGCTCGACTTGTACCTACTCTGTTTTGTTCGCAACCTTCAAATCTCCTGTTCTATCTTTTATTATATACCTGAGAAAATTACGCCATTGTGATTGGCTGAGAGCAGGCCAATTTATTGCTAATTTTTAATTTGCACTGCCGTGCAAATTAACACGCGCGTTTTCTTGATTCGCTCAGTCATATAGTAAATGAGTAATCTTATGAAGTCTCGAGCAATTAAGGATTTACAGAACTCGTGATATTTGAAAATTCTTTCAAATTGCACTCACCTAAAGGTTCGTGCAATTTTGAGAGAATTTTCAAATCACTCGTAAATGTAAATACATATCTCTCTTTCTTGCCCAGTTTTATTTATCAACACCATCTTCCTTCTTCGCGCGTCCATTTTCTTCCACCCATCCTCTTTCCTTATTCTCAATTTGTAATAATCACAAATTTATTTTGAATTTTTTTTTTCTGTTTCAGGAAAGTGATAAAAAAGTGGCATCACCGCGCCAGAAGGGAACTGCGTAAAGCTGTTAAAACGCAAGCCTTCTACTGGATTGTTATACTAGTTGTATTTTTAAATTCACTGACACTAGCGTTGGAACATTATGATCAACCTGAGTTTTTAACCGATTTTTTAGGTAAGATTCTCCCTTTTTCCGCCGGAAAGAGTCATTCTGAGTGTTTTTTTTAAACAAAATATAACAAGGGAAAAGAAAAAGAAAAAAAACTCAAAGTCCAAATTCGATGCTGGCGTGGGTTACCTGCTGGTGTGGATTACCTGTGTTCAGTTTTTGGTCTCTGATAGGACACTTAACTCTCACATGCCTTTCTCTCCTCCCCCACCCTTTCCTGGTGTAAGAATGTCAAATTGTTTGTGGAATGCGGCAAAATATCGGGAGGGAGGGGATGGTTGGGAGGTAACCCTTTCATGGAAACTGAGCAGTATCCCATCCAGAGGGGTATAGTAATATTCCTGGTCACTTCATGCTATTGAAGCCAGTGAGAAATTTGTGTCTTCAAACTCCTAGGATTGAAATGGGCTTTGACTTGCCTACATCAAAAAGGAAAAGCTGTTTCAATCTGTGATTAAAATTAACCTTGCTTCTGTCAGAATGATACCGAAACTAGCAAGTGTTTCTTATTTTCTATTTCAGATATAGCGAATAAATTATTTTTAGGAATATTTACTATTGAGATGATTATCAAGATGTACTGTCTAGGATTCCATGGCTATTTTGCATCGCTTTTCAACAGATTTGATTGTTTGGTAAGTTGGTGGTTTTACAAACGTTGGTTAAGCTCTTTAGCTATCAAAATTGGTAAAGCTCAAACTTGAAAAAGTTAAGTCGAAACAATATACCAAACGAGGGTACTCCTCAATAGCTTTTATTGAATGGCCACACACTAGGGTTTCATCCACAGACTTTGGCTACAACCCCCTTGTACAGCATAATAAACAGTACCACGTGAAAGTACTGTTCAATAGCTTTCATTTGAATGGTCACACTAGGGTTTCTTCCACAGACTTTGGCTACAACACCCTTGTACAGCATAACAAACAGTACCAAGTGAAAGTACTGCTCAATAGCTTTCATTTGAATGGTCACATACTAGGGCTTCATCCACAGACTTAAAAGGTAGCACCACATTGTACCGCACAATAAACAGTACCACATGAAAGTACTGCTCAGTAGCTTTCATTTGAATGGTCAGACACTGGGGTTTCATCCAAGAACTTAAAAGTTACAACCACCTTGTACGGCAGCTCAATTCTGGCTTCGATATCAGAATGTACAGACACGTAGACACGTACTGTTAGACACGTTCAGAGACTCATCTGGAGAGAATCTCTACATATGCTGATACTTAAGGTTTCTTTCGTTTTTTTTCCCTCAGGTTGTAATTAGCAGCCTGTTAGAGCTGGCCATCACAGAGGCATTGAACCAGCCTCCGATTGGAATCAGCGTTCTTCGATGTATTCGTCTGCTTAGAATTTTTAAAGTAACTCGGTAAAGTTTCTTTTTTCCTCTTGTTTCCTGTACGTTAAAACTTTCATTCCTCACTCAACACGCCCAAGAGACTGGTTACTAGCAAGCTCGCAAGGATTTCTTGGGCTGCTTAGGAAGAGAACAGAATCGAAGCTGTCTGGCAGAAGAGTTTTTCTAGAACAAAAGCAATGAAGCATTTTTCCCTGTAACTGTAGTGTTCCTTTACAACCCATAACTAACAGCAACTAAGAAAGTGAGCCATTAGACATTGTGTTAATTACGTTTGCGTGACTGCTTGTGTTACGTGCGTGACAGCAGGAATACCAGTGTTCCGTGACTGATTTAGATTCTGGTTTTGATTCAGGTACTGGAGTTCACTTAGTAACTTGGTGGCGTCGCTGTTAAACAGCATGCGGTCCATCGCTGGTCTTCTGTTGCTTCTCTCTTTATTTATGCTTATCTGCTCGCTGCTTGGAATGCAAATCTTCGGTGGAAAGTAAGTGTTGTTTTTACGTTGTTATTTTCCAGTTTCTTCATGTTCGTCAGCTTGTTCGTTCGGTCGGTCGATCGGTTGCTCACTCGTTTGTTCGTTCGCCCGTTCGTTCGTTCGTACGCTCGTTCGCTCGTTCGCTCGTTCGTTCGTTCGTTCGTTCGTTCTGGCGGTCGTTCCTCCGCTCATTGATCCGTCCTTTCCCTTTGCTTGTTCGCTTGTTCATAGCATCGTTCGCTCTCGCTCATTTGTTCGTTCGTTCGTTCGCTCTCTTATTTGAACTTAGCTGATAGTAAAGGTACATGAAGTCACTTTTACATCCTTGTAAAAGTTTAAACTTGTTCATTTCTGTTTCTTTCAAGGTTCAATATAGACGAAGACCAAATTCCACGCAGCAACTTTGATTCCTTTTGGAGAGCACTTATCACAGTTTTTCAGGTGAGAAAAAGTCATCTATAAGAACTCAAAGAATCCACTGAGCCCACGGATTTTTTTGTCAAAAGGGTTGCTAAGTAACGTGCGAAGTTCTGTCGCGCGCGCTGCTTGCGACAAATCATACCGTTGCGGCTGCACCATAGAGCGGTTTTCATTTGAGTGTCGAAAAGTAATTGGTTTTGCATCAACTACGCTGCACGATTGGCTTAAAAAACTCGCGCCACTTTGTCAACCAATTAGAAGTGAAACCAAAACCAATCGTGGCTCGTTGGCACACGTTTTTCCGCGCTTCGCATCAGCTACATGTATTTCAAGTTTTGATTGGTTCATTCTGTTCTCTGTGTCCATTGTGATTGGCTAGAGTGATTACTTTGGTTTTGGATTTACGACACTCCATTGAAAACCGCTCTAAGCTTTAGAAATCCTTCACGTTCTCAAAAGAATTTCGTTGCGAATGGCGCTTCTTGATCTTTTGCAATCTTAATTTTTCTTGATTTTAAAATATTTTTGTGATTTTCTCTAAATTGAAGTCACTTCGGTGCATCGCAAAAAGGACATGTAACTGGATGCAGTGGAACCTCGGGTTGCGACCACCTCTCCTCAGTGACCAGTTTTCCAAAATACCAAAAGTTTCCAAGTCAAATCACTATATTTGGTACCTCTTGTAAGCGACCACCTCTCGCAAACGACCGCGACAACTCTTAGAATTAAAAGTTTGTAATTTTCTTTTGTTATTAACCTCCCGTAAGCGACCACCTAGGCTTCGACCGTATGAACATAGCGATGCGCCCATCTTGCATGTTGTTTGACCTTGTTGGCTTTTCTTATCATCAGATTCTCACAGGGGAGGACTGGAATGCTGTGATGTACGATGGTATCCGCGCGTGGGGCGGCATTGGAGAGGCAGCCTCAGCCTTGGCCATCATGTACTTCATCTTCCTTGTCGTTGTTGGAAACTGTATCCTCTGCACACATAACCATTCTGTAACATGTAAAAAAAAAATTTTGTGTGGGCATTGATCCTTGGAGCTGTTGTTTGCATTCTAATACAACCGGTCGGGTGATCTGTGGAAGTGCAAATCCCTTTTCTCCATTGCTAGTTACCATAAAGGATATCGGGAACGCCAAAAGTACCCTTACATAACAACCCCCTCCCCTCCCCCTTCTTGAATTTAAGACTGGATGGAAAATTCCTCTCTCTCTTCCCCCACCTGAAAATATTAAAAACAAGGGCGCAGCTAGTCGGGGGGGGGG